GCAAAAGAACACGGGCCACAAGGCTCCGCTGTAGGAACGTCTACCTGTAGTTTACCTTGCTCTTTCGCAAGACCAGAGGTCGCCGAGGGTCCGATCCCCCGCCCCCCCAGGCGCCCAGGCCTGTCATTAATTAGCAGATCTCCATTTGAACCCTGGACTTCTATTTATAACAACACTGCACAGCCCAGTCTACTGCTGACCTACATACACACTCTTAAAGGCATTCATCATCTCCCTCCAACTACCAGCCCTCTAATCTACTCGCTAGAGGGGAAGCGGAAACGTAGAAAAAGGAGGGAAGAGAGAGAGAGGGCGAGAGAGTGACCTATTTATATCCATTACATAATTGTGAGGAATATTAACATTTCCACATCTCTCATTATTGCTGTTTAAATACAGTTCAACATACCATTTAACATGCCATACGCTTGTACTCCCAAACTAGTACTCCCAAGTAGTACTCCCAAACTATTTACTATGTTTCAGTACCAGCCGTGAGATATCAGGTTCTCCAAATATAAATTATTGTTCAATACTGTTTGGAGATCAAACTGTGTACCTGATTTCAGAAGCACAAGCACTTGGTGCAGCAATATGAGGGTAATATGATTACAGAAAGGGTCATTTATATTTGGAGAAAAACAGTTATATTTGTGGACACTCTTGACATTAAGGTTAATTCTGTCTTTCACTCTCTCTGTGTCCTTCCTCTGTCTTTGCACTGCCTCTTTTTCTTCCCTCATGTCTTGCTCTCTCATCACTTTTTTAGCTTTCTGTTGTCTCTCCTTTCCACTTTCGCTTTCTTCCCCTCCAGGCTGCCGGTCGCCACGGATGTGTTGTGTGTGTGTTTATTGCAGAGGGTGTGTGTCTCCACAGGGGCCAATGGGTATTCTGCCCTGTCGTGAACACCGTACCTCTGGATTAATACGCCACATAGTCTAACATTAATACACGTGATCAGATTCTCGTGCTCTCTGCCTGATTGATTCAGTATTCTACCTTAAACTAGCTAGAACAGGGAATCTGTGCTCTGAGAGAATGTAGAGGTTTGTAAACCCAGAGCAAAGAACTCTGGGTACAAAAAACAATAACCTATGGGAGATGGATGTGAAAGCCACCTCAAACTCAAACGATGACGTCAGTGTCGTTTGAGCTCTGTGTTCTCTCTCCTCTCTCTGAGAACTATCGAAGATCATTTCTGCATTTTTGCTTCGTTTTTTTTTTTTTTTTAAATGAAACTGTGGAATCCGTCGCGTCTCATGTTCCTTGTGTATTTTGGTGTAGTTCCTCTAGTTTGTGGTCTAAATGCAGTCTTGCGCTGTTGGTTTCAGTGTGTGATTATCCGTTATACTCGTGTGGATGATGAAAGTGCCAATCAAGCCTGGTTAAGATTAGCTTTGCGATTTGTTTGTGCATTAGAGTTGCTCTCTTTGGAGTGCTGGTGTCCATATCTACGTCATTGATAATTTTAGATCGACTTAAAATGTAAAGAACTATTGGAAGCAATATTGTAGCATGTTGTCAAGTTTTGTGTTTTGTTATGTCTGTTGTATGAGCCTTGGGATTTACTACAAAT